GATTTCGTAAGCCTCTTCCTGTTACTTCATCCACGGAAGCTCTTGTCTGAGGAAGGAGTCAGGGAATCTGTCCTCGGAGAGGTTCCTCTTTGTCCTTTCCCTGTCTCTGCAGAGGGGTCTTGGGCCAGCATTAGCTGAACGATGCCTGTGTCTCTGATGTGTCACCACTCTGCACCCTACCCCTTTCCTCCCGAAGGCCTCGTCATTTTACACCAGTGTCTTCATTGAGGGGGAGTGGCCTGGGGGAGTTTGCTGAGTCAGTGCTCACAGCCCAAGTGGGTACCTAGGCTAAGTGACTGCTGGGCACAGGTGTCATGCCCTGTTGCGTTGAGGTCGTCCTTCGTGCCAGGGCCTGAACAGATCTTGGAGTGCCAGCCTCCTCACAGCCCTAACAGTCATGCAGACTGCATGGCCACCTTGCCTGGCCTCCCGACTCACATGTGGGCCCGAAGTGTATAGCACCCGGGAGTGATCTTTGTCCCCAAGGAGCTTCTGGGTTCATCCCTCATGCTCGTCTAATGACAGATGGGTTTCTGATAGATGAAGGCTTGTTAGGATTCGTTAACCAGTGTGGGACATGGAAAGGTGTCACCTCTACCTTGTAGTGGGGCGACGTGACCCCTCAGGGTCTGGGACTGCGCAGGTGGGGCAGCCTGAAGCCCTGCCTGTTCTGTGCTGATGTCCCGGGTAGGTGCTATGTGCCAGGAGTTGCCAAGTGCACTCTGGGCCAGCCTCACAGCTGCTGGGCAGCAGGCAGTCACCTGTGCCACAGGTGAGTCCTTTCAACCCCATCCTGCTATGTGGACGAGGGACAGGAAGACACGTGCTGCCAGGGCATCTCATCAGTCTTGCTGCAGACACTGCCGTGTGCAGAGCCTGACCCTCGCTGCCGCTTCTTATGCCTTAAGGGGTCATGTTTTGCAGAACCTTGGCAAGAAGTGTCTTTTGTATTCACACACACGTTCTCTGTGCCCGGTGTCCATCATCTTCTGTGCAGATCCGTTGGTCTGTCTGGCATCTCTCTCTTTCTCCTGAAGAACTTCTAGAACCTTCCTTGTAGCGACATGTACCTTCCTTGTACTCAGCTCTGTCTGAGTCTCCATTCTACCTAGTGTGTGGGTGTGTACTTGTGGTTGGAGGTATCTTTCCTCAGCCTTTGACAACATCTGTGGTCCTGGGGCCTGTTCCTCGTGGCCTCATTCCTTGCAGCCTCGTGTACCTGTCCTTGCTTCCTGACTCCTGGGTTGTCTGTTGCACTGCATCGATTGCTTACGACATGGCGCTTGGTTTTCCTGACAAGCTTCCTGGGTCTGGGGATTTGTGACTTCCATCACATTTGGGACTTCTTGGCCTCCCTCTACAGGTTCCACTGGCCCAGAGGATCCCAGGATGCTCTGTCAGACCCTGGAGTCAGTAAGGTCACCAAGGATCATTGGTTTCTGGTGCTGTCTTTCTCTGTGACTCAGGCTGGGTGGCTCGTGGCTTTGCCCTGGGCTCACTGACCTGTGGTGTCCCCTGTTGCTCCTACCCGTGGGCTTCTTGCGGATGGTGCTTCTCAGCCCTGGAGGTTCCTGGGTTTCTCTCCTGTGACCCTCCTTCTTGGCCACGTCCTTACACCACATCTGTTGATTCATCAGCCGAGTCTGGTTCTGCTGATTGACTACTCCTGGTTTTGGGGTCTCATTTCCTGCGACTTTGTGTGTCTGTGGCCTTCTGTTTTCAGACACTGGGTAGTCTTATGAGGTGCCTGCCTGCAGCCTGCACATGGGTGGCCATCACTCAAACAGGTGTTAGTCTTGGCACCCATCTTTGCTAATGGGGTGTGTGGGCCCTTGAGCGTTTGTGACATCACGAGTAAAGTGCCCTGGTGTTGATGAGAAAGGCCTGGTCTCCTGCTGGAGGGTAGGGACCCAGTGCAAGCCCGAAAGGCTGGGAGCCCCGCTCTGATGACACTCGGTCATGTGGGGACAGACACTTGTGGTGGGCCCTCCTGGCATCACGGAGGAAGGCTGGGCCCTTCAGCCCTCAAGCCCTGTCCTCTGATGCGGTCTCATCCTCTGTGCCCTTGGGGCGTGAGCAGCTGGCCAGAGGAGGTTGCAAGTGCCCTGCAACAGTCAGCTGCCGGATGTGCTAAGTGCTAAGTGCTTAACCGGAAGGCATGGCCCACGGGGCGTGGAGCCTCAGGGCGAAGGGAAGACAGTGCCTGTGAGGTGGTCATGTCAGCACCACACCCTGAGGTTCCTGTCCTTTGTCACCCTAGCCAGCCTGGCAGTCATCACCACACATGGATGCCTTGCTGTGGGTAGACAGTAGATGGTGTTGGGGTGGGCCTGAGCACCCCTTCGTTGGGGATCTGGGCCAGAAGAGCCCATCTCCTTGCTGCTGTTGCTCCAGTCGGTGTTCCGGGCCACCCGTGCTGTGCTTCTGCCTAGGACCTCCTTCCTCCCAACTGGCCCTGGTCACGCTCCCCAGGTCCTTGAGGACTGAAACTGTGGTGCTGCAGGGGGCATCAGGAGTGCTTGAGTAGGCTGTCCTGCCCTGATGTTCCTCACCCTGAGTGGCTCCTGTGTCCTCTGACTCCTTCTCAGGGCACCATGTCGCTCATGCCCTCATCCAGGATTCCCTGCCTGTGCTTGGGTGTCCAGCCGTTCTGTGGGCCCAAGGCAGGTTGCAGGGGTGTTGCTGCTGCAAGTGCCCATAAGGTGTGCCCCATCATGTGCGCGGTTGCAGCATTCTTACATCTCTGTGCCCTTGCACGTCTGCAGCTGCACCCTGCTCCCCGCCCCAGCTTGCCAGCTGCCTTCCGTGTCCAGCTCTGCCTTCATGGAGGTGAGATGATAGGATTGCATGCCTGCATACTTCCAAGGCAGTGCTTTGGCCCAGCCGAAGGTTCAAGGCTCTCTGTGAGGTTCGTCCTAGCGTGTCTGTTCTCAGTGTGTTCCTCTGGGTTGCTGGCTGGTGTCCTGTCCTTTAGTTTCTGTCCACCAGTGACATGCTTGACCTGCTGTGCTCATTGGCTACCTGAGTCCTGCTGTGAACGTGTGGTGTGGGTTTTGTGTGGAAGTGTGTGTTCATTTCTCCAGATGTGTACTTAGGAACTGCTGGGTGTGTGTGGCCCTTTGTGTGACCATTTAAGATTCCACAAGGCTGTCCACAGAGGCTATACCCCATCCATTCCACTGGCAGTGGCTTAGGGGTCATGTCCTCTGTGTACCCGCAATGTGTCCGTTGGCACCTCCATAGTTGAAGCTACTCTGAAAGGGGTGTTTGCATCTTTTGGGGAGTGATGGCACCCAGCATCCTCTCACGCCTTCAGTGGACCCTGCAGTCACATTTTCATGTCTGTTTTTAACTGAATTCCAAGCAAAGCCACTTAAACACTGCGTCCTTGAGGGCCCAGCCAGGCTGCGGTCCCCGTTCTCTGAATAGCACACAGGCAGGTGGTTGGGTCAAGGCTTATGGGATGGGGGCGCTGTCCTGAGCTGCCTTGTGGGGAGCCTGGCCCTGTCTCGGCAACATGGTGGCCCCTGTGCCTGTGATAGCCTCTGTGCCTGCAGTGGCCGTTCCCAGTCTCTGAGCAGAATGAGGGGTTGGGACAGACAGGGGTGACTTGTGCCACGAATCAAGTCTCTGTGGGGTGGACCTGTGTCTGCCCCGCCTGGTGAGAGCAGTGGCATGCTCTGGAAGTGTGGGGCAGAGTCTGGGGTGTTAGGTCCCTTGCAGTGTGAGTGTGCTGGGGCAAACCCCCCAGCTCTGTTGCAGACAGCAGTGTCCTCGGAGTCTTGGCGAGCAGGGGGTTCCTAGTAGACAGAGGTGGGTTCTCGGTGCCTCTCACCCAGGTGCCGCCACATCGTGAGTCTTGCCATCGTGAGTCTTGTCCACGTCAGCCGAGTAGACCCAAAGGTGGGGCCGCCGTCCCTTCCTGCCTGCGAGTGCCTCACGCCATGCCCAGCCAACAGGTGCTCGTAGAAAGCTGCCTGTGGGCTCAGGGCAGACCCTGGGCCCGAACACTGTGGGCATTGTCTGCCCCTGGCCCACCTGTGACGCTAGTTGACGCTGACCATGCGTGTGGAGCTGCTCACCTGTCCCCAGTCCATGGGCGGGGTCAGACAGGGTGCTCCTCCAGTGAGAGCAGAGGGGCGGGGACAGTTCAGGGTGGGTGTCTCAGAGCAAGAAGGCCGAGCTGGACTCCAGTGGGGTGTCAGGGACATGTGATACAGGAGCGGTTTTAGGGCCTGGACTCATGTGACCAACCAGAACCATGCCATGGTGCAGCGTCTGGGACACTGAGGTACACGCTCAGGCCCTGGTAGGGAGGAAGAAGGAGGGTATCCCTCCTTCTAGCCTGGACTCTTTCTCAGATGGGCCAGAGGCTGCTCTCTGTAGAAGTGAAACTTGGGGGTTTCTCGTGAGCTCTTGTACATTTTCTTGGAAGTGACCAGTTGCCCTAGGCCGTGTGGTGGACTGGGCAGGGCTGGGCTCCGTCCTGCCAGGATGTCACCTGGTGACCTCCAGTCCCTGCTCTGGCAGGTAGGGCCTACCCACCTGATCCTGGCTCGGGGGCATTTGTGAGGCAGGCCTTAGCCACGTCTCTGGCTTCAGGGAGACCGCCTCAGGCTGCGGGGCAGAGGGCCGAGGGCCGAACACAGTCCCATGGACCTGAGACCCGTTGGGCCTTGCCCGGCCCTGCTGTTTCCCGGAAGGCCCAGGAGCACTCTGGGCCCTGCCTCCGTCTCCCTGCGGGGTCCTGGGCCTGCGGTGGTCTCGAGGACGTGGGCATATTCCTGAGCCCTCCTGCGAACCAGGCCTGATGCCAGCCTCAGTGCCGGGCTGCCTGCTTGTCTTGACGCGTCTTGCCCACTGCCCCCGAGGAGCCCCTGCTGAGCCTTCTCCCACCTGCCCTTGGGCGCTCTTTTTATCCTGCCCCTTATGTGGCTGGGAAGTGAGTCTGTGGACGTCTGGGTGTCTTTATTGACGTTTTCCTTTTTGTTTTTTGGCAGGACTCTGCTTCACTGAGGCCATCAATTCAATTTCAAGGAAGCCAAGGGGTGAGTGTTTTTTGTCTAAATCGTATTTGGAGTTGTGGAACTGGTACGGTCTCTGGCCTGCCCTGGCTGGCTGGGGACAGTGTTTGGGCCCTGTCTGCCTCTGTGTGAGCCCAGACTCCTATGCCCACAGGCTTGTCCTGTGATGGGGGCCACTGCAAGCCAGTTTGGGGTCCCACAACAGGCCACCTGTGGGCGGAGGGTGGCCCTCTTCCCAGTGGCCCCTCAGGGTGCTAACTTCCTGCAGCAGGTGTACACCTGGCTGTTAATGGCCGCCAGGACTGTGAGTGTTTGTGTGGATTTTGGCGTGTGGAAGCAGTTCATAGAAACCCAGCACCCTCCCAACTCCAACCTCAATGCCAGCCCTAACCCTACGCCCTAACTCTAACCCTTCCCATACCCCTACCGTAGCCCTAACCCTAAAAAAAAAGAAACTCACTATCCTCTTTTTTTAAAAAATGTGTTTCTAAATGACCATTTCAGACCAGGCGTGGTGGCTCACACCTGTCATCCCAGCACTTTGGGAGACCTAGGCAAGAGGATCACTTGAGGTTAGGAGTTCAAGATCAGCCTAGGCAACATAGTGAGATCCCGTCTCTACCAAAAATAAAAAGATTAGCCGGGTGTGGTGGTGCCTGTAATATCAGCTACTCAGGAGGCTGAGGTGGGAGGATTATGTGAGCCCAGGAGGTTGAGGCCGCAGTGAGCTGTGATCATGCCTCTGCACTCCAGCCTGGGCAACAGAGCAAGACCCCTGTCTCTAAAAAAATGGATGATAAGCCGGACCCGGTGGCTCAGCCTGTAATCCCACGCTTTGGGAGACTGAGGTGAGTGGATTGCCTGAGCCCACGGGTTGGAGACCCGCCTGGGCAACTTGGCGATAATAAATCAAAAAATTAGCTGGGCATGGTAGCGCGCACCTGTAGTTTCAGCTACTTGGAAGGCTGAGGCGGAAGGATCGCCAGAGCCCAGCAGGTCAAGGCTGCGGTGGCTGGGAGCGTGCCACTGCACTGTAGTCTGGGTGACAGAGTGAGACTCCAACTCAAAAAAAAAAAAAATGGATGACAGAATGAGATCCTGTCTTTTTTTAGTTTTTATTTTTTGTTTTATATTTTGAGACCCTGTCTTTAAATAAATAAATTACCATCCTGTCTAAAAACTGGAGAATGAGAGAAAGGACAAGTCTACCACCCTTCCCCCCGATCTTAGGACACCTTGCCTCCCACCCACTCACACTCCTTGGAGCAGTTTGGCTGTTCTTCTAGCCTTCATTACAAGTCTTTTGAGGGTTGCCACATTATATCTAAGTCTTTTTCTGGGTGTGACAGCCCGAGGGCCCCTCCCAGTTGGGGAGTGCGTGATGTGGTTATCTGGGGGCTTCCTGGTGCTGCTCAGCGTGCCGCGGAGACAAGTCTCTGGGACATATGTGTCTGGCACAGATAGAGCCAGTGCATGGAGCGGTGCACGTGGCTGTGGGCTTCCAGGCCTGCAGCTGAGGGCTGGCTGGCGGGTTTCTCTTCCTTTAGATCCCTCATTATTCCTCTTGAGGCCCTCAGCTGACTGGACAGGCCACCCAGGCCATCAAGGGCCACTTCCTTATAACCACCTGGTTGGGATGGTGACCATCTCTCCAGAATACTTCCCAGGCACTCTTAGGCTGGGGCAGTAAATCCCTGGGGCTGCAGCCTGTCAGGTGACACAGCCTCCTCCCTGTGTCTGGTGGTCACCAGCGGGCCACCTCCTTTGTACCTTCCCCAGGACATCCCTGGGGGCAGAGGTGGGGCAGGAGTAGGACTGGGCTAGCTTGCTGCCTGAGCTGCTCCACAGCGCCCTCTCGTGGCCCACAGCTGTCATTCTGCCTCTGCTGTTGCCTAACCCTGACCTGAGCAGTGAGAAAGCTCCTGGCACCGGCCTCCCTCCCCTCTGCACCCCCAGTGTGCCTGTGGAAGGATGCTCTCCAGCTTGGTTGTGGCACGGGCACACGGCGGTGTTGTTGGGTACCAAATGCCTTGGAGCCTCTCCAGACCCGTGTCCCTGTGTGCTGTGAAGGCTTGTTGCCGGCGGGAAGGCACCCAGTGAGAGAGCTTGTGTATCTGTGTACTTAGTGTATGTTTGCTGGAGCTCTTGGTCCTGGTCCCACATGGGGCTCAGGACTGGAGGCCCGGGGTTTCCACAGAGTGTTTCCCAGAGGTGAGCTCATTCACAGACCCCATCAGTGGGCATCATCCAGCCTCCTGCTGCTAATTGGATCTTGGGGCAGGAGAGACAGCCATCAGGTTGTCATTAGGGGCATGTACTGACCAGAGTCCCATTAGGATGAAGGGACCCGTTCTTGGCAGGCCGTGACAGGCCCCATCCACAGGCTCCCTACTTGGGGACAGTGGCAGGTTGTCTCTGGCTGCCGGCCTCCTTGTCCACCTTGAGGGCGTCTGCAGGTTGAACTTGCCATTGGGAGAGTCAGCGTTCCTTGCAGTTAGGAGCGAGTTCAGCCCTCACATGTCTCCCCTCAGACATGAGTGCACTGTGACCATTGTGGGGCCTTGTGCCACCCACTCCTGGGTGAGAGTCCAGTCTTCACCTGGCCCTTTTCTGTCTGCATGGCAAGCACTGTGAGGGCCAGGCCCAGGCCGGAAGTTGTGTGCAGCCAGGTCCTTTGGGTGTGATGGGACTGGCCTGCCCAGCCCTGTGTGACAGAGTCTTTAGAGTAACTTCCTGATGTTTCCAGGTGCCCAGGGAAAGCTGGGCTTCTTGTCATGCTTGCTGCCTTGTTCATGGCTGTGTGTGGATTCTATGCCCTTCATGGACTCTGAGCCGGGCTGATCTGCGCCCCTGTTGTTGAGGGTGCTTCTGAGTGTCTAACCCTAGAGAGGCTGCAGCCTTCAAGGGGGAAAAGAAACTTCTGGCTGACTGGCCCCTCACCTGAAACCCTTCGGTGAAGTTCCAGCTGATAAAAAAAGAAAGCAAAGCAGTGGTCAGTGTCCAGGTCTGTTCTAGACGTTAGGATGTCCGTGTACTGCAGCAAGACCTGAAGGGCAGTTTCTAGAAAGGAGGCTGGGCAGGGCTTGTCAGTGGCCTTTGACCAGTGCTTGTGTGGCCAGGATGGACTTGGAGTGATTTGTGATGTGCACCTTGGAGTGATTTGTGATGTGCACGGATTTAGCCAGAAGCCTGCTGGCTGCTGTGTTGTTTGCAACAGGATGATTCAAATCTGAAAAACATCTTAAATGGGAGGTTTTCAGAGTCAGGAGTCATTGAAGGCTGAGACTTAGTCGGGGACCAAAGATCACGACCCTCCGCTCTGCTGCCAGGCTCCTGTGCAGAAGTGGGTGCTTGGGAAGCGCCTTGGGCTAGGGCTGAGGAAGTAGGACTCCTGCTGAGTGGCGGCGGCTGGCCCCTCATGGAGGATGTGTCTAGCCACGGCAGTGACTGTGTGATCGTCTGTTTCATTCTGAGGGTATGCTGGGAATAAGCGCTGTGGAGAAGACAGCTGTTACCTGAAATCCCAGCTTCTGGAGAGCCTGGCCAGCAGAGCCCCGCACCCACTTGATTTGTCGCTTCAGAGTCCCCCATTCCCCCTCCCCTGCAGAAGAGGTCCCTCAGGTCGGGTTGGCAGTGGGCCTAGCACGGGCAGTTGGAAGGGAAGGCAGGAAGGGCCATAGGAGCAGCGCCCCCGGCAGCTGCAGGCCAGAGGGGTGCGCCTGGGGTCCTTCAGGACCACCAGAGGGGCCTGTGCCCCGCTCCAGGTGTTGATCATCTGTGGACACATATGTGGGACCTTAGGCTCAGGGCAGCTCTTCCCCAAGTCTCTGGCATCCTGGAACTGACCTGAGAGCAGACACTCCCACACCCCCGTGCAGCTGTCTGAGGGCTGCTGGCTCTTGAACGTGTTGGTCGCTGGGGCCCTTGGGCAGTGCCCAGTCCAGAAGGGACCAGCGTTGGTTGAGTGGGCGCTGTTTTGGGCTGCGTCCTAGAACCCAGGTGAGCTCTCAGCGGGTGCCAACAAAGCATCCACATTTATGCCGGCTGGCTGCCTGACGTCCCTGGGCCCAGTAGCTGGTAACCAGCTGCAAAACTGCCTGCTAGTCACAGGGTTCCCAGGGTGCTGGTGGGGGCCTCTGCATCAGGAGGACAGGGGCTGTGAGAACCTGCCATGCTAGCTCCAGGAAAACTTTTTCCTGGCCACCTCCCCTCCCCTGTGCTGATGCAACCCCATCCTGATGGACACTGGCTGCAGGGCCTTCTGTCTTCTCATTCTCCATCCCCAGAGGCACGATGCTCCCCAGCATCCGCTTCAGAGCCCTTGTCGTCCACCCTTTTGCAGCCCCCACTCCCCCTGTGGCTGTATAACCTGGCTCTGAACCTCAGCAACCCTGCCATCTAGGGTAGCGTTGGGGGGTGACATTCTGCCTGTAAGGAAAAGATCCAAGCAGGGTGAAGGCCCCGGGCAAGAGCCCCCCACCCAGGAGGAAGCATGGTCACTGAGCAGGCTCAGGCAGGACCTGTTGGCACTGACTGGGGTACCTGGTGGCCCCTGCCTGCTGTTGGTGCCGGGACCCTCCATGGGAGCATGGGAGGTGGCCTTGCTGCGTCACACTCCCTGTGCCTTTGCACCTCTGACCCTGGTCTCCCTGCCAGCGCTCTGCCCTGGAGCCAAGTGTGTCCTGCTGCCTGCCCAGATGAGGTCCGAGTTTACCTGGACAGGCCTGGCATAAGATGCCAGCTGTCACTCTCTGGGGGGGCAAGAGCTGTGGGCAACGTGGGACTCAGGTGAGGCACCTGGGTTGCAGCTGGAATCAGGGCACAGGTGTGGGGGCCTAGAGGGAGAGCAGAGGAGGGTGGAGCGGGAGCCCCATGCCAGGCTCAGGCTCCCAGAGGCTCCTTGGATTTCTCTCGAGTTGTGGTCCCGGGCCTACCCCACTGGGTGCGTTCCGGGTAAGCACATCACCCAGAAACCCGAGCCCCAGCGTCCAGTGACGTTTCCAGTTACTTGTGATGAGACAGACATCATATCTGGGAAGGGTTGTACTGGCAGGACAGGGTGTGCGTGTTGGGCAAGAAACACTGTGGTGTCTGAGCAGAACAAGACTGGACGGCCAGGATCACTCACTGGGCTCTAGCAGAGCCTGCGGGCTGTGTGTGGGGAGAGAGAGAGAGAGCGAGCTGGGTGGTGGGGCCCACGGTGAGCACCGACCTTGCCCTCTGTCACCGCATGTCCCACGTGGGCACCGAGCCCCAGCTCGAGTTTCTGCGTCAGCATGACAGGGATGAGGGCTCTTGACCCACAGGGACACATGCACAGGGTGGAGGATGGGAATGGGCACTGTCTTCCCCAGGCTGTAGTGCCTTTGCTGCTGAAACCAGACAGGGCTCCTAGGCCCCCTGCGTCCCACACGGGAGCCTGAGGCCCTCCTGGGTGTTGCTGAGGGTGGACAGTGGGGATGCCTAGCAGTCCTGTTCCTGAGGAGAGCTGGGCGTATTTCAGGGGAAAGCGCCTGCACGCTCTCTTGTGAGGCCACACTGTGGGGTCGTGTGCAGGAGAGACTGGGTGGGCTGCTGGCCCTCTGTGGTACCTCTGTGCAGGGCTCTCCGGTGACCCCTTCCCCTCCCCCCGTGCAGCACATCTCCATCCCCCAACCTGACGGCCCCGCGCAGGCGCGCACCTTCTCCTTCTACCTCTCCAACATCGGCCGCGACAGCCCCCAGGGCAGCTTCGACTGCATCCAGCAGTACGTCTCCAGGTGAGGCCTGGGCCACAGTGGCCTGTCAAACCACGGACCAGAGTCAGTGCTGCTGGGCTCTGCTCCCAGGCTGACACCGGCCCTGGCCCCTTGCCTTCCAGCCATGGAGACGTCCACCTGGACTGCCTGGGCAGCATCCAGGACAAGATCACGGTGTGCGCCACTGATGACTCTTACCAGAAGGCACGGCAGAGCATGGCGCAGGCGGAGGAGGAGACGCGCAGCCGCAGCGCCATCGTCATCAAGCCTGGAGGCCGCTACTTGGGTGAGTATGGGCTTGGTGGGGGCTTGGGATGGTGGGGGCAGGATTGATTCAGGACCCGCCCAGGCTGGGTGCTTACTATGGTCCTGTCACGGAGGAGTCAGCCCTGCATGGGACTCACCCATGGGCCAGAGTCCAGGTCAGGAAGGCAAGCCTGGTCACATAAAGCCCTGGTTGGACAGCGGGGCCGGGGGCTCCAAGTCAGGGGCCATCTCCCAGCCTGGGGCCTCAGGGACCTTTACTGTCAGGGAGATAACAGTCAGATGCCAGCCACCTTCCCCTCCTCCCCACCACTGAGCAGCCAACTCCCTGAGGTCACCCAGGCCGAGCCTGGTATAGACCGAGGCAAGCTGCATAGGCCACTGTGCATGGGACCCTGTGCTGCTGGGCAGGCCCGAGGCTTGGCATCGATGTGGAGCCTTCTGTGTAGTTGAGACACCAATGGGCATCAGAAGTGGGAAGAAAAGTCAAGTTTATTTAGAGAGCATTGTCCTGCTGCTGTCTCCCACCCCTTAGCCCAGACAGAACCAAGAGGCTCTAGAACAAGGTGCAGGCATCAGGAATGAGTTGACTCACCACGCAGGAGCTTGGTGACTTTGGGGTTTTTTTTTTTTAAAGGAAAAGTAAGGATTTCAGTTCCTTCCCTCCAACAGAGCACACAGTCCCCCCTTGCTCGGCAGGAGTTGCGCTCTGAATAAAACCCAGACATTGGTGTGAGAATTGGGCCTGGGTGTGTTTTGGGCTAGGGAACCCAGGCCAATGGGACATCGGGAGTTGGAGGGTGGTGGGAGGGTAGCAGCAGTGGCTTCAGCCCCCAGACCACTTCCTCTGTGCACTCCTGCTTTACACAAACATGCACTCACCAACTGTGGGTCCTTCAGCCAAAAACTCAGTCAGAACACTTGGCTAGTCATATCATGTTGAGTCCAGTGAGGGGTTTTTAAACTGTATGTTCTAGTGGGACTGCTCCGTTAGGATGGAAGCATGCACGTCCCGCTGTCTTGGATGCCCCGACATCAGCCTGCTCCCCTCACTTGCCCCACTCCTGTGTCACCTATCAGCCTGGGCCTGCGGGAATGAAGTCTGATTCTGCTGTCAGGTCCCCACTGCACAGACCCCAGGGGCCTGAGTGGCTGGCCCTGGGGTTTTGTAAAAGCACATCCGTCTGTGTTAATTTGACAAATCAGATTTTGAGGGGTAACATCAGAAGGAAGTCATCATGAAGAACTTTTTGGCTGGAGGATTCTAGACATCCTGAGCTTGTCCACTTTTGAACCTTCCAGGGCATCCTCAGGACAGTGGAGGGGACGGCATTCTGGGCCCTCCAGTTCTCTGTCTTGTCAGGGATGAAGTGAAAGCCTGCTGGTTCTGTGCGCAGTCAGGCCCTTGAGCTGCGCTTGGCAGAGTCGGAGACTGGGAGTCACTTGCCCCCCAGGGTCTCTCCAGAGCAGCTGCTGGAAGTGGCCCTGACACCTTTATTCACTGCTTGAAGGAAGGCTGCTGCATAGACCAGCATGGGTCTGTGAGGTACAGGCTGGGGGTGCCTGTCTCTTGCCACTTAAGGACCCCCGTTTTGACATCAGAAGGATGTATAGACACTCCCAACCAACCCTGCTGCCCGCTGGAGTAGTTGGGCAGTTTTGGTGCCCAAGTTAGGTCACCCATGGTGAAACCGGTTAAGGCTCTAAACGGGATTCTGCCGCCTGCCCCCCCACCTCCAGGTCTGGGACCTGTAGGTGCTGAATGTGGACAGCATGTGGCACTGTGGCTGTCCTGGGTCCCGCTGAGCTGGTGGGATTTTGCCTGAGTGGCTGTTTTTTCCCTAACTGGGGGCTCTCTTGCAGGCAAGAAGGTTCAGTTTCGGAAGCCTGCCCCAGGGGCGACAGATGCCGTGCCCTCCCGGAAGCGGGCGACCCCCATCAACTTAGCCAGTGCCATCAGGAAGGGTGGCGCTGGTGGTGTCAGTGGGGGCAGCGGAGTGTCCCAGAGGCCCTTCCGTGACCGGGTGCTGCACCTGCTGGCGCTGAGGCCTTACCGCAAGGCCGAGCTGCTGCTACGGCTGCAGAAGGATGGCCTGACACAGGCAGACAAGGATGCGCTGGACGGCCTCCTCCAGCAGGTGTGTGTGGGGCATGTCCGGCTGCCTGGGCTCTGTGTGCCAAGAGTGGCCTCTGCTGAGGGGCTCTCAGGGCAGGCCGGGCTGGGCCATAGCCTGAGGGCAGGATCTGGCTGACTGGGAAGGGGCCCCCTAGGTTAGAATACTTGGAGGGGCCGTGGGTGCGTCTCAGACCTGGGTCCTTGGGTCAGCTCAGCATGCTGGCCGTGCCTTGCTCCCCCGCTGTCTGGCCAGCGCAGCGGGGCCCAGCACAGGGGAGCTCAGGCTCCGGCTGCCAGTGCGCTGTAGAGCCAAGGCCCAGGAAAGGCCCCACACGTGCACGGCAGGCCTCGTTAGGCAGGTCGGGCTCGGCATGAATAGTTCCCATCCCTCACTCGCTGTGACTCTGGGCAGAGGGCATCACATCTCGCATCCTCAGGCTTCTGTTTGTGACAGGAGGGACTGTAGTGTTTCTCTTGGGATCGGGGACGAAGTTAGCTGGAATGTGGTGCTAGTGGTGGTGCCTGCTATTAGGGGGCTCCCCAGGTACTGGAGCAGGTGCTGAGGCCCCAGCTGCCTCCTCGCAGGGCTCCTGAGGCTCCTCCCTGCTTCCAGATGCCAGGCAGGCTGTGCAGATGCAGCCTTGGGGTGAACTGGGCCTGGGCCACCTGGGGTGACTGTGGTCAAGGAAGCAGCATGGCCAAGCCGCCTGCGTCTCCCAGGGCGGTGGCAAATGCTAGGGGTCACAGCCTCTAGCCCCAGGCTCTTGCTTCCTGCTTCAGACACCTCAGGGACATGGGCCGTACCTCCTTGTAGTAGAATGTGCAGGTCACATGGTGCCATGTTGAACAACGCTACACCCAGGATGCGTTTCTGTGATCTCCATGTCCCTCATGAGGTTTTGACCTCTCAGCCTGAGCCTGGGTAGAACTGGAAGCACGTTCCTTGGGAGAATGTTGGTGTGGCTCTTGTCCGCCCACCTTCCTGCACTGGGGTGGGGCTGGTGTGTTGCCCATGGGAGCTCTGAGGGCAGCTTGAAGGGACTGTCAGGTTTGCTGCCCTCACTGGCCTGGCCCAAGGTGCCCTAAGCCTGACTCTTTCCCAGGACCTGAGAGGCCGTGCTGGGCCCGGCTAGCATCTGCAGGCAGCATTCCTCCCCTTACCCACTTTGATGTCTCCTGATGGCCTGCCTGCCTTGTGCCTCGGCATGGACCACACAGCTCACTCCCCAGTGGTTGTGGGAGTTACAGGACCTGGCTAGCTGGTGGAAAAGGAAGATCTCTGGGGGATGTTCTGACCCAGGCTGGTCACTTCCAGCTGTCCCAGGCCACAGAGATTGAGGCACAGTGGTGACAAGACCGCACTCCACAAAGGCCCGGGCCCCCTTCTGGGGAAATGTCTAAAGCAGAGATGGAAGGTGCCCATCCCCAGGACTGACTGCGCCCCAGGGAGACCCATGGGCTTCTCCTTCCAGGATGCAGTATTGACCTGTCAAGAGCTGGGTACATGTTCTATAGGAAGCCAGCATGGAGGAACCCGCGCACCGTGACATCTGTTGATGCTGTAGAGAAGCTGGTGAGGTGGCATCCACCAGTGCAGAGGCATTGATTAGTCACGGTGCTTTTGCTGGGTGGAATATTACTCAGCCATCAAAATGCTTCTTTGGACTCTGTTGTGACGTGGAGCTTTGTGGGATGCAGCTGTAGCAGGAGGCAGGCTGCTGCCAGCCACGACTGGAGGCCAGGGCACCCAGTGACTGGCACACGAGGGCCCACTTGGGGCAGCAGCCTTTTCTGTCCAGCCCCTTCAGGACAGATGTTCTGAGTCCAGCAGTCTGGGAGACACATTCAGCTTTTTGTTTTGTTTTGTCTTGTTTTAGAGACTACCTCTTGCTCTGTCGCCCAGGCTGAAGTGGCTTGATCATAGCTCACTGCAGCTTCGACCTCCTTGGCTTAAGCCATCCTCTCGCCTTGGCCTCTCAAGTAGCTGGGACTACAGGCACACACCTGGTGCCAGCCGAGCTCAGCGTTTGTTAACCGCAAGAGCAGGGCAAGACTGGTTGCAGGGAGGTGGGCTCAGGCCTGGCCCCAGGAGGCTCCCCCCATCACCCCCAGCAATGGGAGCTGCAGTCAGGGATGGGGGGTGCAGGGGCAGGTGATAGGATCTTGAGATTGTGAGGTAGCTCTCCTGTCTGGAGCCAGCTTGGCCCCAGCACTGTGAGGCAGTTGCGTCTGGACCTCATGCCGTGACCCTCATCTGCACCCCAAGGGTTGTGTGCAGAAAACTCGGGGGGGGGGACGTGGGGGCACCCCATTCCCCCTCTTTCACAGTCTGTTCCCCCATGTCTCCGCATGTCTTGATGTTTTTGGGAGCCCCACTTCTCTCAGGACTTTTGCAAGGTGACGGCTGCTCTGTTGCAGGTGGCCAATGTGAGTGTCAAGGACGGCACCTGCACGCTGAGGGACTGCATGTACAAGGACGTGCAGAAGGACTGGCCCGGCTATTCGGAGGGGGACCAGCAGCTGCTGAAGCGGGTGCTCGTCCGGTAATGTCACCTCCCACCCCTGGTGTGTTCCTACTCCCTAAGCGCGGCCCACAGCTCATCTGGAGGATGTGGGGGTGGTCTTGCCTGGTCCTGAAGGCCTGGGGGCCCAGGAGTAGGCTGGAGGGTCTGAGAGGGCCCCTGGCTGTCTCCCACTGCCCGGCCAGTGTCCCAGAGTGGGCTGGAGGGCAAGGTCACCAGTCCCAAGCCCCGAAGCCTCAGAGGCCTCCGTCCTCCAGGCCACCCTCTGCTGTCCCAGCCTCCATCAGGCTTCCTTCCAAAACCTGGGCTTCCACTTGAGAACCAGAGCGGAGCAAGGTGGGACAGGGCTCCCCGGAACTCATGAGGTGTCAGGAGGTGGTGTTAATTACATGCACCCCTCAGGCTAATTGGGCCAGGGTCAGGTTTGGGGAGCATCCTAGGTAGGCATCGGAGCAGCTTCCTCTCCTGTGGAGGCAGGTCCTCAGAGCAGGCTGAGGTGTGAGTCAGCCCCCCCATGGATTTGTGTGTCTTGTTCCAGAAGGTTGGCTGTCTGCAGCCACGACTGTCCTGGAAAGCAGGACCCAGCTGGGGTCACCCAGGCTCTCCCTGGCCTGCTGGTTGGGGTCCCTTGGGTCCCTGCTCTGGGAGGAGCCTGGAATCCAGCAGTCCTTGGTGCTCCAGGGGGGCTGGTGGAGGACACAGTCTTGGCAGAAGACACCTTGCCTTGGCTCCTGTCCGGGCCCCTCAGACCCTGAAGGCATGGAAGGGAGCTGTGGGGCCAGTGGTATGCGTGTACAAGGTCCTCAAGGGAGTGCCCGAATGACATCCTGGCTGTTGGGCAGGTGCCTCCCTGTCCACGCCTGGAGCCAGCCTTCTGCTCCCTGGAGCCGAGGCTCACCGGTCCTCTGCTGAGTAAGGGGGTGGGGCATGCCAGCTCTCGCGCACTCGGCCCTGTTCTGCTTGGCTCAGGGCTGGTGTGCAGGAACAGGGTGATCGCACGGGAGGCGATGGGCTGTTACATGGTTTGTTTCCTCTTGTCTCAGTGTCCCACCCCCAGGAATCCCCTTGACAGCAGTTCCTGAAGCTGAGCCTCAGGTGGAAGGGGCATGAGGGCAGTGCCTGGGCCATTTCCTGGTCCAGGCGACACCAGGCAGGCGGACATCACTGCATAGACCTCCCAGCTGGGTCGGGTGCTGCATGCCATTGGCTCCCCTTCTTAGTGCTCACTGTCCGTCACTCTCACCCCAGCCCCTTGTCACTGTCGGTGGCTCGGGAACCCCAACGCCTCTGCCTGAGCGACTCAGGCTCTACTTCCTGTTGCTCGCTGGTGCCAAGGGCCCAGAGTGCCCATCTGAGCACGGGCCTCTTGCCTGGCTTCACGCCTGGCTGCAGACCTGTGGCTTTGTGCTTGGTTGGGTCGAGGCTTTCAGAGCCAGAGGAGCCACCTCCACGCCAAGGGGCAGAGGCGCCTGGCCCTGTGCTGTGCCACACAGCCCCTGCGGTTGGAGACTCCCCTTGCCCGGCCATCCTGGGTCCTTGGTCCCTTTGTCCTGTGTGTGGCCAAGGAGGGCCCAGCCACCCTCCCTGTCACCCTCACTCCTACATGCCTCCCCTCATTGGCAGGGGTGGCCGTGGCACTCGGTGGTTCACCCTCCTCTTCCTGTCCTCACCTCTCATTCTTGTCTGTTCTACTTTGGGGGGTTTCTTTGACTTTTCCGTCCTGTCTCTAATTTGGTTTCTGAGTCTTCCCTGTTGCTTGTTTATCATGGGCTGCGTCATGTTCTTATTTCATGGACGTGATGGTATCTTTAGCCTGCACTAAGGACACACAAAAGAAAGTTTATTGAGATACAGGTCACCTAACTGAGGCAGCCATTTAAAAAAAAATGTATTATAAAGATGTGAGGTACAGCTGGGCTCGGTGGCTCAGCCTGTAATCCCAGTGCTTTGGGAGGTTGAGGTTGAGTGGATTGCCTGAGCCCACGGGTTCGAGACCCGCCTGGGCAACTTGGCGAGACCTCATCTCTACAATAAATCAAAAATTAGCCGGGCA